GCCGACGGCACGACCTCCAGAAACTGAAGCGAGAGGACCCAGAGCGCGAGCGTGAGGAAGCCCGAGAGACCAAACTCAATCTCAGGCGAAATCGGAAACCAATTGAGTTTGATGGGCACAAAAACTGTGATGATCGTAAGGTACACGAGCAACTGCGCTTTGTTCGTGTGCGATTGAAAGTGGATACGGTAGCCTGCTTTCATCTCTTGGCGCTCCGTCAGCACAAAGTAGAGCGCTGTGAACAAGAGCACAGCCGTGTTGAATGTCGGATACCACACCGCGAGGTGCAGATGCGGCGCCGCAATCGCCAAGGCGACAACGCAAAGCGCCGAGAATACGCCAGCGAGTCGGCGTGTCAAGACCGAGACCCGGTGCTCCCAGAAGGTCATGCTCATTGCATATTGGAAATGGCGACGTCCGTAGCGCAAATAGCGTGCGTCGCCATAGAGCGTCCTCGGTGCGAGTCGCTTGAGCGTCAAGTAGGCGAACCCGATAAGGACGCATGTCGAGAGACCAAAGACGCTTGCAGCCATCGACGGCGCTACGTCACTGCTATAGAATGACGACGTCGCCATCGTGAAGAGGAGGAGGACGTTTGTGAGCAGCTGCTGAAAGTAGAGACGCTGGCCAAACAGCTTCCACTTAACGTCGAGGAGCCGCCGAAAGACAATGTGTTCCAACAGAGCCTTCTGGGTCGCAAACGTCTTGTCGACGTCCTTCAAGTCGAGGTCCAGGACGGCCTGGAGCGCACTCTTCTTGGTCGTTTGGCCGTAGACTGCCTCGAGCTACGCAGTTGGAATACACAAAAAGACACGAGAGATTGGGATACATGTAGGAACTCGGCTTCGTGACGATGCAGCGTCACGCAGTCGTTGAGAAACTTGAGGCCGAGTTTTGGACTCAGCGCGATGGCTTTGGCAAAGCCACCCTTGTAAAAGACGTCGTCGATCGACATGGTCACCATCGAGAACGCGCGCTTTTGCTGGAACGCTGGCGAGTCGCGCCGGAGTTTGATCTCGTTCTCCAGAAGCTCCCGCACCGGCCATAAAAACTCGGGGGGGGGAAGTTCATCGCTCTCAACAATGGTCAGCTGCGCGAAACGCGCAAGCGTACTCCGATCCTACAGGAGGGTTAGGGTCCACAACCTTTCGTGGCGGGTGTACGTCATCGTCATCGTAGATTTCGGCCCCGTGCTGGAGTAGGATCTCCACAATCAGTGCATCGCCTTTCATCGCGGCGAGCAGGAGGGCCGAGCGGTCCTCCTACAAACGACCATGAAATTTGAGAAGTCCTTGTTACATAGTACGTTGTCTTCCAAGTCGAGGTTGACGTCTTTGGCGATGAGGTAATCGACGTTGAAAATATTACCCGATTTCGCCGCAACCATGAGAGCCGTTTCGCCGTTCTACAAAATGTCATATGTAATTGTGGACAAGTTGTCTTCTTTGGCGTACAATGTCTTGCTGGTCCAAGTCAACGTTCATTGCAATCTCGTCCAGTGCCGCTTTGGCAAAGGCGACGTGCATGGCCGCATGCATCGGCGTCTGCTTTTGCTAAAGAAACAAAAATGTAGTTCTCGATTCGAAAAGTTTGGTCGTTCGTACCGCCATCATTTCGCGGGCTGTCGCTACATTGCCGACGTTGGCGAGGTAAAAGCCCCGATCAAAGAGTGAGAGTGCCCAGTACTCGTAGACAAGGCGCTGACTCTCGGTCGCCGAGGCGCACAGCGCCGCCAGTTTCGACTGAGAGACCATGTTCAGAGCTTTCTCATATGGGCATCGTACCTCGTCCAAATCGTCGTCGGCTTTCGGGTCCGCGCTGGCGTCAAGCAAACGTCGGACGATCTCGGGAAAATTTGCGTTCACCGCGAGCTCCAACGCTGTTTTTCCCTACAACACATACAACCGTCCTCGTTGCAGAATAGCGCGGACGTTGTACATCAAACGATTCAATGTTGAGGTCGAGGTCTGGCTGCTCCAAAAGTAGCTGTAGCGAAGCCACATGTCCACACCGGCACACGTGATGGAGGGCCGTGTAGCCCTAGCTCCACATGAGTAAATGATTTATGTATGAAGACAATAGTTGCACCCCGCGCTTCCAATCGTCTGTCTGGTTGAGGACGTCGGTGGCGCGCGGTCTGTCCAAAAGCCCGCTCAGCTCCTTCCACTTGCGGCCGGCAGCGGCTCGAACCAGCTCGCTTGTCGACGACGCATTCGTCATGCAGTCGCCAATGCAAGTGCGCGGCGCAGTGCCCGTGAGCATCAGGTTGGCTTCTCGGTGGTACTCGGGCGGCTACAGCATAGTCGTATGAACTACCCGTCGTCGACGCTTCTTAGCTACGAGGTGCGTGCAGTCGAGGGGGAGGTGTCCTTGTCGGGCCACAGCGTAGATTGCGCGCATGCGATAGGCGGTATTCGCGCCAATAGTGTTGACAGCGCAAATCACCATTTCGTGCATGAGCATATCGAGCGCCGTGTGTCCTTCCTATGCACACAATATTGTCTATTGCTCTACTAGAATATGCCTCGGATGCAAGAACGTACATGGTCCTTGGCCGTAATGACGTCAGCAGAGATATACTCGAGAATGCGGTGGAGCACCTGGGTCGTGTCTCGATTGTCTTCAAACATCCGCGCCGCGTGCATGAGGGGCGTGCGACCCATCTAGTGCACAGTAGCTGTGGCATGCGTTCAATAGCCCCCAAACGCCATTGCCCACCGAGTCGGGAAGCGCGAGCGCTGCGGTAATGGCGTCGTCTGCGTCATGCGGATGGTCGCGTCGCATGTCAGCAAGCCATGTATCGAAGCGGTCGACGTTGTTGGTGCGCACAAGAACGTGTACGGGAAACGCGGAGCGAAAGTCGACTTCGGCACTCAACAGCGCCTTGATGCGAGGGTTGGTCGTCAGGTCGATCGGCCGCTCGCCAGCCTACACCATGGCGACATTGCACCAAGAACAAGCGATTTAGCGTACCTCATTGGCAACGTCAACCGTGTGGTCTTCCCCAAAGAAACCTTCGAGGATCTCGTACAAGGCGTCTTCGTCGAAGGCATACCGAATGATGTAATGACACAGCGTGTCGCCGTTCTATGCAACTCGTGAAGCACAGCTATACAAGTAGATTGCACTGCACGTTGGCGCGCGCGTAGACGTTGGCACCGGCTTTTTCGAGGTGCCAGGCACACGGAAACGCCCACTTTCGCTTCGCGGCCAAATACGGTGTCTCGCCCGCCTACAAGAAGGAGCGCATCACTGACGAGGAGCCACACGTGCAGCACGCTACCTCGTTGCGAAGATTGAGATCCGGAAAGCGCGAAATGAGATAGAGAAGCGTCTCGATCCCGCTGCATTCGGCGGCCTCGTGCAGCAGCGAATTGCCCGTCTGCTTTATACATTCAACATAGCCACCGACGTTTGGGCTTCGCACCGTGGACGACGTTAGCGTAGCAGCATTTGGAATGACATCCCAGAGGTACGTCAGCACCTCGACTTGGTTGTTGATGACAGCGCGCTGCAGCGTCGTCCACGCAACCTAAATCATTTGGTGTAAACACATACGACAGTGTGTGCATCGTCTACCAATCGGAGTGTCTCGGACGACACCAACTCTGCAATGGCTTGCACGAGTGGCAGGTTGCCGTACGTGGCAGCGAGCGACAGCACCGAGTCGCCATCCTATCTCAATTTGCACATCGGCAATGCACGATAAGGCATTTCCAAATACACCTCATTGAGTGTCGCAAGGTCCTTGTCAGTGACCACGCCAGGCGTTCGCAGGCGCCGAAGCAGCTCGCCTTCCTTGTTGAAAGCAAAGAGGTCGAGGAGCGAGGTCGTCTCGTCGTCGTTGGCCACGTCGTCGTTGGCCACTGCGTCGCTGTCCACCGACTCCACTTCCCACGGAGCATGCGGCATCTCTCTTGTGAAGGCTTGACGCACACGGGAATGAACTCTAGAACATCGGTTGTGCAAACGTTCGAAATGGAAGTCGAAAGATGATATTTCGCATATTTATAGTTTTGCATACGAAACATGTGCGATCGAAAACCGCCAGGGCCAGGCTATCATGTTGCACATCTTTGATCCAAGAACCAGCCAAATCAAGTTCTACAGTGTCAAGCAGCAAGCTACTTCAACACTCAGCATTCAAGACAATAGTTGAAGTTCAAGTTAAAAGCTTGCTAGGTTCACAAGATCACAAAAGTCATTCAGTTTTACATTTGCCACTAACTAATCATCAACAAGAAAGGCCGCTGTGGCATTTTGAGCGGTCAAACTTGAAGCAACGACCAGCGAGCAACCAACTGATCGTCAACAACAAGGCAGAAACAACAAGACCAACATGGAGCCATCCAACGAAAGCGATCTCTAGAACCATCTTGTCCTAAACCAGCGGGCCGATTGCTCCGTGGCTTCCCATCGATGGAACAAACAAATAGAGTATGGACAATTGAACAGAATGGTCGACACACTCCTCCCCTTCGCGGATACTTGTAGCTAGTCATCTCGATAATCGCTTACCAATTGCTTCACTTTACAAAAGCGAGGACGCCCCGCGTCCTGTTGGCTTGAGTCACGTTTCGACATGGCCAAGTGCCCTCGTTCGCATGCTCTTTGGATGCACTTACGACCGACGCGCTGTGCAGTCCACTCGCGCCACCACCTGGCGTCATCGGTGGACCTCTTGTGATCATCCATGGTCTCGTAGACGGCGCTATGGTCGGTTGCGGCGTCTGGGTGGCTAGACGCTCGCTAGGCCCTGTGTATGGCATTGCGTTCATGTACTGTAGTATTTACATAAAGTGTCCACACGTAGAATATACATGGTGGCGATGTCGAGATATACTACACGTTCATCAATGGATACATTTTTGTCATATGCAACACAAACGCCATTCAGTGGGCCGCTGATTAGGCGCCTTCAACGTCCTCCTTGGCGTCCTTGAGCTGAAGCAGAAGCGAGAC